CACGATGGAACCTCCTGACTTCCCACCCATCAGCGACCACAAGCCGGTCTTCTGGCTACAACCAACAAACAACCACTACGGAACCACCACACGCCTTAAGGCGGTCGAAAAACTCGGGCCACCACCCCACATTCCCATCACAAGATGGCACGACACGGTATGGAACAACCACTTCCCCACCATACGACCGATCACACCACTGCCGACATCACCTGGGACACACCGATCCTTCAAATGATCCGTGACGGCCACACAGAGAAGGCATGGCAAACTTTGCAAAGCAAACTGGAATATGCCCTCATCACCGCAACCAGACAAACCAAACGGCGACATCACATTCGCCGAAAGACGCCTATGGCGGACCATCCACCAACTGCGTGAAGCACTCCGACACGACCAACGTGCACTAAACCACCAGCCCAACCTTTCCGGCCTCCGGAACAAGATAATCAACATCACAAACACACTCGACCGCCGTCATCACAGACACACTCCATCAAGCAACCAACGAACTTCACAACATGGAAGCTCGTCACGCAAGAGCTCGCATCCACAACTGGAGACGAAGGCTCCTAGAAGACGACCGCCACACCTACCAGTGGCTACGCCGACAACCACCACAACGAACACCACACATCACCACCACCACTCCGAACTCTGAGACAGACACCCTACAAACCCCCACCACCGAAACAACACAACAAGCACTCGACTGCATCACAACATACTGGAACCAGATTTGGCAACGCACCACACCACACCTCGCGGACGCTACAGCAACAACCACTGCTCAACTGGGCCCACAACGACCACCCATGCAATGGGAACCTTTGACAACCAAAGACATCACCACGGCAGCCAACAAGCAACACGGCAAAACACATGGTATGGACGGCTGGAGCGGAAACGACCTGAAACTCATCCCGCCACAAGCATGGCCAGGCATCACCAACATCATTAACGCTCTTGAACAAAGTGGCACTCCACCACGTGCATGGCGCGAAATCCGCCAATGCCACAAGCCCAAGGAGTCATCCCTACACCATGTAGCGGGCACTAGCACAACCACGGCACACAAACTCCGCCCACTCTCGGTTGCCTCTGTCTGGTTGTCTGGTACAGGCTCTGGGCAGCAGCACGCTATCACCACACAACAACCACCACGTGGATCAACAACTGGCAGCACCCTGCCACTTATGGTGCGCGCAAGCACATCACAGCCAATATGGCAGCGAAAGCCATTATTGACACATCACAGAACCGTTGCACAGCAACACTTGACCTGACACAAGCTTTCGACCACGTCACACCAGCAATCGCAATCAACACACTCAAACACCTCGGCATCTGCCCAACAACCTCCACATTCATTGCCAACATTTGGGAACATCAACTACGGTATCTGACCTACGACCACCACTTCAACCAACGACCAATACATGTGAGCACGTCTATACCACAAGGTGACAGCTGGAGCATGCTCGCACTCACGGCATGCATGCAAACGGCACTCCACCACATCACAACCACATGGCCAGCCACACAACAGGCACTTTTCGTTGATGACCGCACTTGGACCTCTCCAACAACAACAGAACTACAACAAGTCAACGCATACTGGCACAACTATACAGCATCTATTGGCATCCCTGAAAACACCAGCAAAGCTCAATACTGGACTGACGGTGACCAAAGCCGACGACAAAACCTTCCACAAGCAATGGGCTACGACTACGACCCGACGACCCACGACCACATTACATTCCTCGGCACTACACTCACACTGGACACACCTGACCAACATTACACAGAAAACATCATCCAACCACGACGACGTGTACGACAACGACAAAGACCTAACTACTCACTAACATCGCAGCACCCACATCCACCAACACATATGACACACCCACCAGGGGGTGCAAGAACAAAACACAACCAACAGAGTGACCAACATCATCCACCGGCGAACTCTGCAAACGCAGACCACCGCCAACGCGCCCGCCGGAGGCAACAACTACCGCCCTCCACGGACGAGCGAGCCACAACAGCCGGTAAGGGCGCACCAAACCGGCACACAACACGACCACACTCACAACGGCAACAACCACAACAACATCGACCTAAACAACTACCTACATCTACTGCGAAAGCCACCACCACCAAACAAATTCCACCGCGGAACAACCGCAAGCGTAAGCATGAACTGATAAGGACAGCAAGGGATCACAACGACCTGCACCCAAAGGAAGCGAGCCGACTTCAATCCACACTTCAAACACTCTACAAAATACAACGCCTCCCACATACCTGGCGAGGCAAAGCACGATTCACAGCCACAGCTGCAAGACCGAAGGCAAGCTACGGCTGGCAACACCACCTACCACCAGCCAACTACTGCAGAAGACTACGAGTCGACACATTCAAAGCACTTGGAACACCGACTACCTGCGACAGATCCCTCACCCAACTTTTCACAGGACACAACACAGACATCGCCTTCATGGCCGGCTACAACATGGCCACAGCCCATTACAAAATTCACATCCAACGGGATCAACCCACTGCGACACCACACCATCAACCACCAACGCACACAGACACTGTCCTCGGACAATGGCTCAACAACCAGGGGTGGCAACCTTGTTCACCCAACACCACGGCATGGCAACACAACATCACCAACGACGTGATCCCCGGACCACCACACCACGAACACCACCAATCTCTACCACACCTACACCACGTTCAGTACAACACCAACGACACTCAAAAACTACCAACACAAACTACGTGAAGCTTCGCGTGCAACACAATTCAGACACTGGGCTACATCAACACGACTTGACGCAATTGCCGCCAACCACCCGGAATGGAACACGACCCGATTCCACCTGACACGACAACTAGTGACAACGTCGCACCACCTTGCCATCGCTACTGGTGGCACAGTGAGCACTGCAAGATATGGCATTATGAAAATGCCAAAGACAGAACACCTACCTGACGAAGATGACCCACAAATCAGATGCAGCCTATGCAACAACACAATAGGACACTACGACCATCAAACTTGGCTATGCAGCCACAATCCATCACCCATGGACCCTCCGACCGATCCACTACAGAGACGTCTTGGATGGGCCGCTACGGGAAGCTCCAAGGACTACAACGAGAAAATACTACAACACATGGCTGCCACATGCACTAAGCTACTTGCCACCAGATACGACTAGACACAACGACCGGCCGCGAATCACCCCCTCACATCGTGAGATGTGGGAATTCGTGCAGCGAAAAATCGATCGTCAATGTGGCAGTTGCCGGTCCTTTGGTGCCACCGCAGTCCTGGACTCCCGGCTATAGGATAATTAATGGGATTATTATGGGATAATTAATGGGGTTGATGGAGAAAATGGGATTATATAATGGGATTATTAATAGGATTATTTTTGGATAATTAATGAGGTTGATGGGCACAATGGGATTATTAATGGGATTAGTAATGGGATACCTATTAGTATAATTAATGAGATTTTTATGGGATAATTAATAGGATTGATGAATAAAATTGGTTTCTAATGGGATTATTACTGGGAGTATTATGGGCTTATTAGTGGGTTTGACGGATAAAATGGGATTATATAATGGGGTGGATTAATTAATGGGAGTTGGTGATACTTAGATAGTTTGGGAAGGATGGGAAGAGTTAGATTGTTAATGGGATTATTCATGTTAATGGACAGTGGGATTACTTGGTCTATTCATGGGACTGTGATCCAGACAGTTGTAGTTGTAGTTGTTGTAGTTGTAAAGTTATATTTAATGTTGGGGGTGTCCGAATGAATTGGGGGTAACCCCAGTTTAAACATGAAACCCACGGTTACAATGGGGATGCTGCATTCTAAGGCACCACCAGTTATAGTTGTAGTTCGAGCTATAGTCACAGCTGTAGTTATCGTTATAGTCTAGTTTCTTGAGTCTTTGGCCAAAACTTAGGCTATACTATGTGTTGATATGGGCTGGGAGGTATGTGATAATTCTTGGTATGCGTTTTTTGCAGAAAACTACATGTTGTGGATGTTGATGGATGTTTTACAATTCTGGCAACTTTTATATATGCCTTCACTATGCCGTAAAGCGTCCACAAAGCCTTGTGAGCTCCACCGAAAGCAAGCCGCTTCGAAAGGATGGTATTGTGTATAGCCCTTGCCTGGACAAGATAAATATCAGATGGCATGTGAAAGAATATGTATATGTATATCTATCTCTGTATGTATACAAATACATAGACGTGTACACTATCTATCTATTTATCTACCTATCTATCTGTCTATCTATCTATCTACCTATCTATCTGTCTATCTATCTCTTTATCTATCTATCTATCTATCTATCCATCCATCCATCCATCTATCCATCTATCCATCCATCCATCTATCTATCTATCTATCTACCTATCTATCTATCTATCTACCTATCTATCTGTCTATCTATCTCTTTATCTATCTATCTATCTATCTATCTATCCATCCATCCATCTATCCATCTATCCATCCATCCATCTATCTATCTATCTACCTATCTATCTATCTATCTATCTATCTACATATCTACATCCATCCTTACATACATACAATCAATCAACCAAACAAACAAACATACATCCACACACCCATACACACCTACGTATTTACGTACGTACGTACGTACGTACCGTACCATACCATACCATACCATACCACACCACACCACACCATACCATACCATACCATACCATACCATACCATACATTACACACATTACATACAATACATACATTACATACAATACATAATTACATTACATACAATACATACATTACATACAATACATACAATACAGCCAACCAGCCAGCCAACCAGACGTACATACATTTATTCATACATTTGGCACACATATCCCTATACTGGGATGGGATTGGTGGCTTTCCAGAGGATTTTTCCCGTGGTTCCCCGCAGGTGTTCCTACGGGAGGCTCCTTGGGCTGCCATCCCTACTTTGCCCACGGGGACGGCACGGAGCATTTCTCCGTGAGTGGAGTGGCACCTCCCTGCCCAACCCAGTGTGGAAATAGCAACTTTGGGCGTGCCTGGATGGCATGACATGGGCGTTCAGCATCGAAAAACCCATGGCTAACCGTTGTAAGACACAAATGACTCAGTATTTTGGCATGTGTACTGTAGACATATGCAGAATTCCACAGATGTGTTTGGTTGCTTGAATCAAAATGGACATATAATTGAACATATTTGAACACAGATTGGATATGATGGGTTATGACTCGGTAAAATATGACGAATGAATACTGGACATTAGTCAACATCGACAATATGAGGATGGGTCCATGAACATTCATTTATTTGCAACTAAGATTTCATGTGAATGCCAGCCACAATTTGAGCCATATCTCAATGAGGATTTGACCAAGAATCATTTTTGTGACGAGAAGTTCCCTGGGAATCGGCTGTTTGAAGGCCCTATGGGCGAGGACAAATTCAAGCTGGGTACTTCCAGTTACATCGCCATCGCCAGCTATCAACACCCCTTCCCAGAGCGGGTGTACCACTTGGCTCGGGAAGCCTTGTTGAGTGGTGGATTCTTGGCCATGGACATGGGAGATCCATTCGTGAGCAACTTTGGGAAAAAACAATTATATTGTCATCTTTGTGTACCGAATTTGTCATCCCTGGTATCCCTCATTTTGACAATCCAAATTGCCGTTTTTTGGGCAAAGCAAGGACCGATTCCCGCATATCTCTATGCGGATTCGGGTTTCATGGGCTACACCGGTGGGATCTATACCCATGGATGCAACAACTATGCCAACCATGCCATTACGGTGGTGGGCTATGGTCCCGACTATTGGAAGTGTTTGAACTCCTGGGGTGACTGGTGGGGAGATGGAGGCACATTCAAGGTGGGTCTGTGCGTCTTGACGGATTTCCAGCTGCTTGGTGAAATTCATGGCATGTTTTTTCAAGAAACATGTGACATGAGAAGGTGACAGCCATGGATCTCTATCAACCACTGGCTATAACTATAGTAACTGGTTATGACTATACTTATAACTATAGTAACTGGTCATAACTATAGTAAATTATATGACTAGCTATAGATGATCATCAGATAACCAGTAACTATAACTCTTAGAGATATAGATCACATCTTTAAGATGAATGGATCGCACGTGGTTTTCTTCGTCTGTCTGTATCACAGCCTCCATTTGAGCTCAGCCGTGTCACCACCGAAAGTGGAGTTGCGCATCCGAAGGTCGCAGAGTGTCCACAGTTGCGATTATATATATATATGATATGATATATAGATATAATATATATGATATAATACATAGATATAATATACATCGATATATCATAAGAAAGTAGATAAATGACAATATAACATAACATGACATACGATAACATAATGTAATATGATATAAATGTAACGTAATATAATATAGTATAATTCAATCTAATTCAATATAATATAACATAAACTACTATGATATAATATAATATAATATAGTATAATGTAAAATAGTATAAAATAAAATAATATAATACACTATAATATAATATAATGTAATATAATATAATAGAATACATACGCACATATACAACACTAGATTCTCAATATCTCCATATTTTCTCCGGAACTTGCCTCGGGTTGGCCAGTTCTTTGCCCAGGATTCCCAGTAACAGCTTGGCGGGTGACAGTCCAAACTACAGCTTCCCCCTGGTCGGCGACAGCCTCACCCCAGCACCCGGCTCGAACCCGTCGGCGGAGTACAGCACTGTGGCAGAGGCTTACAGCTACGCCAATCCACGGACCAAGGACAAGAAAGGAAGAACAAAAAGAAAAACCGTGGAAAACCCCTGCAGATTTTGAGATTGAACTATTTTAAGCATAGAAAAACCACGGAAAACGCTATAAGAATGGGGGTTTTAAGTGATCAATATATTCTGGGTTTGTCTGAACATGAGCCCAACATGGCGCTGAAAAGTTGGATTTTCCGGATCAATTTTAGAGCCTCTTGCTATGGTTCATCCATGTACACGAAATAGATATTGAATGCCATGAAAAACCAACTAGGCATTGTTCATATCCCAGAACCCAGCTATGGAAAAGATGAAAGGGAAGAAACATGAACGAGGACATCTTTCAGAAAAACATAGGTCCATTGATGTACCAAGTTGGCTGCATTTTGCCAAATGGTTTGTGGCCTGAAGGATAGGCACTGTGCATGTGATTCTACTGGCTGCGCCGCTCACGGCTACAGCCTGCCAGGGGGTGACTTCTGTTGGGTCGTGGATCAAGCCTGCCAAGGCACGAACTGGGGCTACTGTGAGTATCCACCGGCAACGACGGCAACAACCGCTGCAACAACCACGGCAGCAACTACGGCAACAACCACCACGAATGCCACTACAACCACCACAACAACCACCACTACGACCACCACAACCACCACGACCACGACGACAACGACGACAACGACTACCACTACAACCACGACCACGACGACCACAACAACCACCACGACCACAACAACCACTACAACCACCACAACAACCACCACCACGACCACCACGACCACCACAACCACGACAATCACTACAACCTCAACCACCCCCGGCACACTAGTTGTTGAATTGCCCTGGGAGTTGGTGTCTGGCAGCTGCGCAGTAGACTCTGCAGGCTGCATTACCAGCCCCAACTACGATCCCATTTCGGCTGCTGTCTACCCGGCACATTCCGAGTGCGCCTTTGATGTGAAGCATCCCTCTGCCATGGAAGTGGAGGATTTCAACGTGGAAAATTTCTACGACTTTCTGATTGTCAATAATGAGGCCTTCAGTGGAAGCCTAACCCCACATGGAAAGGTACCCGCGACTGCCTCCAAGATTCAGTGGGTCGCCGACTATAGCGTTGAAATGACAGGTTTCAAGATTTGCCCCAGGCCCTTGGGTCCTTGCGACCAAGTATAAAGCTGCAGTGGCGGACTGTATGGGTTAGCCATGAGGAAAGAACGAAAAAGGTCTCGGAGGAAAGCTGCTTGAATATAGGGTCAGACAATGATTTTCCGAAGTATGGACAAATGAGAGTTCCTCTGCCCGAGGTCTGAACAGTTCGTTTTGGAGAAGTGGCGCCCGGCATTTTTGGTCACTGGTTCTTTGCGGAATTCTGCAATCGTCAAATACCCATGCATCAGTCATTTTTTTGGACAGTTAGGTCAAGTTACTGTAAAATCACCTCACATAAAACACACTGTAATATAGGTACATCCTACAGCTGTTGCGGCTTCAAGGAAAAGTAGTGTTGCCGCAGGTGCTTAACGGTTTTCTTCCCACTTGTTATAGGTTTATCAGTCCATTTGGGCGTAATAGGAATTACCCCTGCTGAAACCTGTAAATACAGGTTATCAGCCGTAGTCTCGTAAAGCCATGGAAAGGACAACTGGTGACACCTCAGGTGGAGGCGCCCTTGTCCCCTCGACTGGAGCAACGGTTGCAACAACTGGTTCACAACAAAGCTTGCCGGCTGGGACAAACCCCACGCCCATGTCAGTGGACGAAGGTTTCTTCACACAGCCCGTGCAAGCATATTTCCAGTTCGTGCAAAACAATCTTACCTACATCAACGAAGGTAACATTGATGCTTTCAGGCAAGAGGCGGAGGAGAGGCACACACATCTCATGGAGCAAAAGGTCCAGCAACTGTACCAAGAGTTTGAGGGAGTTTGCCTTAGCGAAATCGCCCATCAACGTGCAGAAGCTGATCGCAGACATGAACACCTAGTGTCAGAGTATTCAATGTCCCAAACGGCAACTGAGCATGAGGTAGCAAGACTGAGACAGGAACTTAGCGATGCAAATGCAAAGCTGAAGAATGCTGCGAATGCAGTCGCACTGGAAGCTGAACAAAGAGCCAACCAAAAGGTAGCCCATGTTACAGCCCAGTACGAACAAAGGTTTTCTGAACTCAGAAGTAGCCTCGAGGCAGACTGTAAACGAATCGTGGACGAAACAGTGGAGTATGCAAAGAATGGCATGGAAGGTTTCAAGAAGGAGGAACAAGCGGTAATTCAGGAGATTAGAGAGGAATGCAGTAGGCAGGAAAACCAAGCTGCTGAACTCAATTTCCAATTGCAGGGACAAGTCGAGGATTTGATGGAGAAGCTCAACAAGTACAGCGCCCCGGAAATCAGTGTCGACAGAGCCGTCGAAGTTGATGATGCACAAGGCGGGAACAATGTCGATTTGTACATGACCCCAAAATCAGCGGTCGGTACCAAGGCTGGAGCAGAACCCATGCCAAACACCGGTATGAGTAGCTTAGCCATGGACGCTAAGGAAAGATTGAGCAACTTGTTCTCAACTACCCCTGCCGGATCAGCAGCTCCACCAAAACTTCCACCATTGCCAGTTCAAAGACAAAATGATGATGATGCAAACCAAGAGAATAGTGTACCCAGTCCTACAGTTATAGCAAGCGACCCTGGCAAGAAAGCAGCTGAAGCAGGCCTAGGTCTTTCAGGTCAACAACTGCTAGATCTCATCACTAGACTGACTTCAAAGGATTCAGATGGTGAAAAGCCCCGAACAAAAGAGGCGGAGACTATCAAACTGAACGACATGCCTGCCCCAGAAGCTTATCGTCACTGGCGTAATCATGTCAGGGATGAAGTGAAATCGTGCTCCGACAAACCCGATGAGGCTTGGCTTTGGCTCAATGAAGTCTTTGACAACAAAACCCCTAGGGAAAAGTTGGAGGAAAAGCTGCAGGATCCTGGGAAGTTTATCACACTTGACACCAAATTGTCGGCAGCGTTAACTCGCTCAGCCAAAGGTGATTTAGCGACAAAGATCCATAACTTCAAAGATGAGAAGTCAAAGAAAGGGATCCAAGTCAGAGGTAGGAGAGTCCTTTTGATGTTTGAAGATTACTTCAGGACGTCTGAGGAAGCTGGCAGTCTCTACCGCGTCGAGGACCTACTTGGAGTCGTTCGCACTGGAGAATCTGTGGAGGACCTTAGAAGGTTTTTGAACCGATGGGACGCCACAATTGCCGGCATGGAAACCCCACCAGATGATTTGGTTCTCAGAGACATCTTACTCAGACAAATCCGAAAATGTCAATTGATGAAGTATGACATTGAAGCATTCGACAGAGCTCCTGAAAAGTCAGAACAAAAGTCTTATGCATTCTTGTTGAGAAACATTCGTGATCTTTTGGATAGAGAAAGACTCCGTTCAAACAGAAACAGAATCGTTGAAAAGAACAAGCAGACCGAAAAGCCTCAGCCCGCTGCACCCGCTCAGGGGGGCAAAGATCGCGGCAAAGGAAAGGGCGACCGAGGTCGAACCCGTGGCCGTAGCCAGAGTGGAAAAGGGGACAAGATATGCTACACAATTCAGGGATGGCAAATGTGAAAAGGGTAAAGACTGTCCCTACAAGCATGTCAAAGATTCCTCAAGATCTGGTACCCCCAAAAGAAAGGGTAAGGGCAAAGGTGGTAGCAGAAGTGGTTCCCCCAACAGAAAGTCGAAGGAAGAGATGGCCAAGATCCCATGCACTTACTTCCAACAGGGCAAATGTCGTCGTGGTGACAAATGTTTTTACAAACATGAAGTTGCAGCTGCACCCACAAAGGATCCAAAACGCACCAATAGCCCTGCACCAAAGAAGAAGGCCAGTGCAAAAGCTGCGCCATGCATTACTCAAAGGTATGCATGCATAGCAAAGGGAAAAGGGTTGCCAAAAGCTACAAAGGCCATGAAAGAACAATGCCATAGAGCCGTTGTGTTTTCATCAAAAGTGGAATACATCAAAGTCCCAGCAACAGGTGAACAGAGGAAGGTAGTGCACAAACCCCGAATCTATGAGAAGACGTTCCCTGATTCAGAGTCAGTGCCAAAACCCGACAAACTCGTGGCTCACCGTGCTCAGGTTTCGGCCCGGCAGTTGCAGGAACTTGTGAAGCTCTTCGGCAGTGAGACGCAGCCCAAGTGCCGATTCCGATGCAATGACCCAGAAGGGGGAGTATCATGCAACCACTGTAGAGCAATGATCGGTCCCAAGAACAAAGTCAGTAACACTCATTTGCCCACTGTTGCTACACCTGCATCAAAAGATGGATGTGTTTGGTTGGTTGACACGGGCAGTGAACAGGATTTGATCAGTGAGGGTATGCTGAAGACCGCAAAGGCGACAAACCGCCGTATCAGCGATACTCCGATCAGCCTTGCTACAGCAAACGGTTCGACACGAGCGGATGAGGTGGCCGACGTAAAAGTCGATGCCCTACATCAGCCGTTTTCACCATACATTCTTGAGGAAACTCCTGCTGTTCTTTCGGTTGGGGTCAGGTGTATGGAACAGGGTTACAGTTTTGTGTGGCCAGCTGATGGTAGGCCTTACTTCATTCGTCCGGACATGGGAGTCATTGAGCTTAACGTAGACGGCCGTGTGCCGGTCATCGATAGCTCTTGTCGTGTTTTGAACAGTGGACAGTTCAAGAAAGATTGTGATCTGTTACGTCTTTTTGCAATGGTTGCTGCAAAAGCAGAAGGTGCCGATGAAGAAGGCGTGGATGAGGGAGTAGCTCATGATAGCGAAACCGAATACGTCAGGTCTAGAAAGGCATCTGACCTTGAGCAAGAGGCATGCAGTAAGTCTCACCAGTTTTGCCATTACCCCAAGAATCCATTTTGCAAGATCTGTCAGAAGGCGCGCATGATGGCGCCACCCGCAAAGAAGAAAGGGGGACAGAAAAGGTTGGAAACCAAAAGTTTTGGGGATCACATCGTCGCTGACCATACTGTAATCAAATCCAAAGTGGAAGAAGGCGTCAAAGGCGAAACAGTGGCATTGGTGATGAAGGACATCCACACACAGTTCAGACACGTCTATCCAAGCCAGACAAAATCGAGCGAATCATGTGTTAATGCTTTCAACCACTTCTTATCTCACAAGGATGAAGTCGGGGCAGTTTACACTGATAATTCACGAGAACTTATTGCTACAATTTCAGAGTTGGGGTACAGACATCAAACATCAACAGAGTATGTGGACAGTTCAAAGTCGTTTGTGGAGAGGGAGATCAGGCACATGCTTGAAGGCACACGCACAAACCTTGTGCAGTCAGGTCTTCCATTGCAATATTGGCCAATGGCTATGCAGCATTTCTCCATGGCAGTGAATGCCACGCCACAGCTCAACGGTGATGATGCCCCATGGAAACTCAGATTCGAAGAAGATTTTCCAGGTCAGTTGATTCCTTTCGGTGCAAAGATACTGTTTTGGAACAATCCAAAAAGGGTTGACAACACATCTGGAAAGACATCACCAACAGCAAATGATGGAATCTTTTTGGGATACCACATTCAACCTGGTTTTGCATGGAAGGGTGAGTATCTTGTTGCCAAGTTAGAAGCATTGGATTACCATGCAGAAACGGGCAGCATCACAGTGCAGCGAGCACGACGTGTTGAGCTCATCGCGGGAGGTTTTGTCTTCCCACTCCGTGCATTGAAAGAGGCCAAAGAGCCCAAGCCGGACCGCCTAGTCGACAATGTCATTGCTGATCTTCGTCCGATTCCGTTTCAATCCGAATTGCAAACAGAGGAACATGTAGAAGAAAGTGAAGCAGCAATTGACAAGTCAACGGAGGCAGTGCTTGACGCACTTGCCAGTGATGAAAGGCCGGCTGAAGAACCAGTCTTTCCCGATATCAAGTACACTCCAACTGGTACTCCAATCCCGGATGGTTATCATTGGGACGGCACACGCCTTGTGAAAACGTACAAAGGGTCAAAACGCCCTGAGTCGATCCCATCGGATTTTTGGAAAATGCTTAGTCCGAAGGATAGGCAAAAGCTTGTTGAGGAGGAGGCTGAAAAGATGGCTGTAGGCAGCGGTGGTGCTGCATCAAGTTCAGCATCAAAGGGTCCGAAGAAGAAGAAAGGTGCAGTCGCTACTGCAAGAAAGCTTCGGGTAAACCCTAGCCCCTCAGGTGAGCCTAGTGTGTCAACATGGGAGGTCATTCCACAGGATAGACCGAAATTTTGTGTCCCTGCAATGCCGAAAGCGGTTCCAGCAAAACCTGAACTGCATCGCCCGGAATTGAGAGAGATGATCAAGAACAAGATCGCAGAGTTGGAATTCAAAGTGGCTCTTGAATTGTTTTCTGCTGTTGCACGTTTGGTTCCCAAAGATGAGGTTAGGAAAAA